TCTCCATATCAGAAGTTCCTGATTACAGAAAAGAAGGATTAAAGTTCTTTACCACTTGAAGAAACTCTTTCATCCTCTTATTCGTTACCATGACATTTTGTTTCTTCAAGAGGTGGCAAAGCGTGATACCATACTCTGTATCCTTGCTCTTTGCCTGACCCATATTTCAATCGGACTAAAAAAAACACTTAAAAAATTTAACAAACTCAAAAAAATATTTTCCTGACTTACTCTCTCTGTCCAATGAGGCCGTACAATTGTTACACGGGATATAACTCAAAAGAGTTATTTTCCCACTGCCACGCAATGGGCACCGTTTGTGGGGGGAGAGAGTCCCCCAAAAATCATCATAGGTCCAGTAGGTGCAATTGTACAGTTGAGATATATAAAGATGACAATAAAAGTCATAGAGCATGAGAGAGATAGGAGGGAGAGTCAAATAAATAAGTCAGACACATTTCATGTAGCATGCTCCCCTCCTGGATGGCCATGATCTTACCAGCCAGGTCCACGCACAGCAGGAGCCGAGGTGAGGTGTGGTGGAGAGAGCTGGGGTCCCCAGGTTTATTGCTAACCAAGGCTTATAACTCTTTAGGGGGCGTGATTACAGGTAACCACACTGTTGATGATAGCCAGTATTGAGTACTGCTTGGGCAGGGGCTGCATAGACACCCTAGGGAAACTTTCCAGGCCACTTTGGATGCCATTTCCAAGACCTGTGGCTATCTGACCCTAACCTCTGGGAAAAAGACATGTTCACCAAGTCTCCCTACCAGTTTGTCTCATGTAGACTGGACATGTTATCAGAAGGTACCAATCTCTGGAGAAGGACATCATCCTTGATAGAGGAGTAGTAGAAAGGAGGAATACCCTTTATACATAGGTTCCTATACTTCTCCCTTTTCAGAAAAAAAGAAAGAAAGAAGGAGATACTCAGTGATCCGCTGGCAATTAAAAACTTTAACAATAGCCATAATCCAGTACTGCAGGCGATGGGTTAGCACAGTGATTGTAAGACTTGTGAGGCGGGTGAAGGACTGAGAAGTGTTTTGTTCTGTTGTATGTATGGGGTTACTATGAGCTGGAACTGGCTTGATGGCACATGTTAGAACAACATGCATATATGCGTTTTCATGCATATGTATTCAAGTACATCCTAAAGCACATAGGTGGCAGAGTTAGAGATACTCCTTAGATATCATTAAACACTTGAGAAGTTGGCTTTCTGGATTTGAAGTCTTGGGACTATAATCCCTTGGGACAACTCAGTCAATTGGTGTAATAGAAAGTTTATGTTCTACATCCTAGTTTAATGAGTAGTGTCTGGGGTCTTTAAAAGCTTGTGAGCAACCAAGCCCTATTTGTGTGGAAAAACAAAGAAGGAAACCAGAGATTCAGAAACCAGAGAAAGAAATTCGCTCATTGTGATCAAGTTGATGCTGACTCACAGAGACCCTATTGGACAGGATCAAACTGACCCTATGAGTTCCCAAGAGTGTAACTCTTTATTGAAGTAAAGATCTCTGTCTTTCTCTTGAGGAGTGACTGGTGGCTTTGAACCATGGACCTTGAAGATCATAGCCCAAAGCATAACCACTATGCCACCAGGGTTCTTAAGAAGAAACTGGACTACAAGAAACTAGTGAACCTGTCAACCCTCACACCAGAAGAATTAATGTGCTGACCATCACTATCAGCTGCTTTGATCAGGGCCACAATGGATGAATCTTGATAGAATAGAGTAGTAATATGAACCCCAACTGAAATTCTTTAAATTTCCAGATTCACTGAACCAGTTGAACTGGAGTACTCCTCAAAACTATTATCCTGAGATACTCTTCATTTACTTATTACTTTCTTTTTTATTTCACAAGAGAACATATATTAAAAATCTTAAAGGAGACCAGGGCAACACAGACATAGCATCCTGATGAGGGAGGCCATTAGCGCAAAGTCATAATGGTGCCCCAGGTTTGCTGATATTTTGAACTTTAAAGAGGTTATGGGAGGTCAAGGAAAACGATCACAGATGCATGGCTGCCAGCAGATCAACACATCATAGTTACAGATGAGATTAGCAGAGCAGGAATGGGGCTATGGTTGGAATATGTACATTGGGGTAGACAGTAGCTTACAAATTGGTTCAGGGGCCTCCCCACTCATGACTGTGTGTTGCCTAAATGATGAGCACAGGCACTGGGCTGGTCAGGTGGGACGAGGTAAGGTAATGCCTTTTCCAATACACCTGTATGAGAACAAGATTATTCACATGCCTGGTCAATGTTCACAAGGAATTCAACTGAGGCTTAATCTACACGGGGACTCTGCCAATGGATTTGGGACTTTCACTATCATCCATAGCCATCTTCAAACCAGATGTGCTTAGATATTCTTTGAACCTTGAACCAAAAACTAGCCCCTGAGGTGACGATGCAGCTCAATAAAAGATTATCTCACAAAATAAAAAAAATACTACCTATGAGAACTGGGGGCAGAAAGATAGGGCTTTCTACTCTGGCAAAGGGTTACAGTCTCAGAAACTCACAGGGGAAGTTCTACCTGTCCTATTGACTCAATGGCAATGAGTTGAATTGAGTACTGGGATATCATTCCTGATGTCACATGGATCTTGCCTAAAAGAAGAAAATGCCAGGAAGAGGTTTGCTTGTGTTTGTTTCATTGACTATGTGGATCACAGCAACCTATGGATAGCCTTGAGAAGAATGGGAATTCCAGAACACGTCATTGTGCTCATGTGGGCAGATCAAGAAACAGTTGTGTGTGCAGAACAAGGAAATACTGTATGGTTTAAAATCAAGAAAGGTGTGCATCAGGGTTGTAGCCTCTACCATACTTATTCAATCTGTATGCTGAGCAAATCATAGAGAAGCTGGATTATGTGAAGAGGAATGCGGCATCATGGTTGGAGGAAGGTTTATTAATAGCTTGTGATATGCAGATGATACACCTTTCTAAAGCTTCTTGTGAGCTCCAAGTTATCAATTTGGGGCAGTATTCTTGATGTATTGTTTTAGGAGACATGTGATCGCTCCTTGATCCAGTCCTGATAATGTTAAAGTTAATTCATTTGTTCTGTGAGATTACATAGCAACAATTGTGAGGTGTCTCGGGACCTGGCAGTGTTTCCTTCTGTTGTACATAAGGCTGCTAAGCATCAGGACCCACTCAGTGGCACCTAGCAATAGCAGCATATCAAACCCACTGCCATTGAGTGAATGGCAACTCACAAATACCTGTTGAACAGAGTAAAACTGTCCCTTAGAGTCCAAGGCTGTACATCTTTATGGAAAGAGACTGGCACATCTTTCTCAGTGGAGTGGCTGGTGAGTTAGAATCAATCTTTTGGCTAGCTACAGTGTACTTTAGCACTGAGTCACCAGGGGTCACCTCACTCACCCTCACTGAGTTCTTTCAGATTCATATCGACACGTGTAGGGTTCATGGGAGCAGATCGCCTCAGCTTTGTCCAGTGGAGGAAATGGTGGGTTTCAAACTTGAGCCTGAAGGTTAACAGCCCAATGCTTACTGGAAAGCGTCACCAGGACTCCACTAGATTCCAAACTCCAAACTCATTGCCATCCAGTCAATGCAGACACATAGCAAAGCGATACTATAAGACAAGGTAGAACTGCCCCTGTGAATTTCCTAGACTGTCCCTGTTAAGGGGAGTAGAAAGCCTAGTCATTCTCCCGAGGAGCGCCTGGTGATTTTGAACTGCTGACCTTGAAGATCGCAGCCCAATGCTATCAGGGCTCCTTTTTCCACTTAGGTTACATCTCTGTAAAATCACTATTTCCCTTTTGTAATTTATAGGATAACTATGTAATTTATAGGAATCATTTTTGCAGTCTAACTATCCTATTCTTATATGATATTTCTTTTTTAAAAATCATTTTATTAGAGGCTCACACAACTCTTATCACAATACATACATACATCAATTGTGTAAAGCACATTTGTACATTCATTGCCCTCATCATTCTCAAAAGATATTTTCCCCTTATTTTATTGGAGGTTCATACAGCTCATATCACAATCCATACATGTCAAGCACATTTGTACATTGGTTGCCATGATCATTTTCAAAACATTTTCTTTCTACTTGAGCCCTTGGTATCAGCTCTTCATTTTTTCCCCTCCCTCACGAACCCTTGATAATTCATAAATTATTATTTTTTCATGTCTCACACTATCCGAAGTCTCCCTTCACCCACTTTTCTGTTGCCCATCCCCCAGGGAGGGGGTTATATGTAGATTATTGTGATCAGTTCCCCTTATCTCCCCCTACCTTCCCCTTCTAGGATATTTCTTGATTCTCTATCATGTTTATTAGGAACCCTGGTCACACACTGCGCTACTAACAGCAAAGTCGTTTGTTCAAACCCAGCAGCTGTGCTTCTTGGGAGAAAGAGGAGGCTGTCCACTCCCATAAAGATTTTGTCTTGGAAACCTACTTAAGTTGTATTCTGCCCAATAGGGTGGCCATGAGCCAAAATCACCATGTTTATAAGTTGGTACTCTACCATAAGAAGAAGAGCTTTCTCTTTCCCCCAGTTATGTATCTATGTGCTCACTTCAAGTCAGCCAAGATTATTATTTTACGCAATTAGAGTTCGTTCTTTTCATGTATTTTGAGTCTCAACTGCACCAATTTGCGTAGAAGGCTCCTCTTTGATTAGAGTCCTTTGACATAGTTCTATGATTCTCAGAGCACTTCCTTACATCCTGGTGTAACAAGCTCATCCGGTATTTCTTTGGCCCAGCTCGGGAATCAGCCTTTTCCCCAAGAAGCCTTAACCCAGGCCCTCCCCAACACCAACAGGCCGCTTTCCGCGCGCAGGCGGAACTTTAGAGCCGGGGCGTGGGCGGCCGAACAGGGTGGCGGACCAACCATTTCCGGTCGGGACCGGAAGTCTGGAGAGGGGCGGCTCCGCGTCAGGTGACTAGTGTCCGCGGAGGTGGGACGACGAGCTGGCCAGAGCCACTCAGTGGCGGCGGGACTCGCAGGTCGGTGGACCGGTCGATAGGCTGCGGCGTCCGCTGCGCGGAGAAGGTACGCGAGGGCCGGGGCGGCGGAACTGGCATCGGGGGGCTGCGGCACCTGGGCCCGGGCACCCCGAGAGGCCCTGCACCTCGGAAGGAAATCTGGGCTGGGGTGGTGGTCTTCCGGCCCGTAGTTACAGAAGGGGAGGCACTCCCAGGGACTCTGCCTTCCGGACGGACTTCGCCTGGCCAGCCCCGCCCGGGTCCGCCTTTGACCACCTTGGGGCTGCGTTCCACAGCTGCCACAAGAGCGAGGCGAGTTTAGGACACCGGGTGAAGGGAGTTGGGCCGGGAGTCAGAAGCGTCCCTGCTTAGACTTGAGAGCCACAGAGGTATGTTCGGGTCCAAGTCTCTTTCCGAGCCTGGGCCTCAGCTTTCTCGTTCGTAAAGGAGGTGCTTCACAGTGTGGTCTGCTGGCACCATCTGTGTAGAAATTCCTAGGGAGACATGCTTTAAAATGTCGCCTGGGTCTCACCCAAGAGCTCTGATTTCGAATCTGGGTAGAAAGGCTAGGTACGGTGCTGATGTTTGAACCCCACTGATCTTAGGAGCTTTCCTGCGGTTGGTCTCCTCCCCTCCCTGATTTACTATTGCTGTGTAGGGCATTCCACATTTTGATCAATAGTAAAAATATCCAGCTTTTTTTTTTTTTTACCCAAAAAACCGGAATTTTTTTCTTCAAAGCTACGGTGCGTATTTGTTTGTTTAATATCACCTTCAACATACACTCTATTACATGGAAACATTTTGCGAACTTATCTGTTGGGATGGTTGACAGCGTCTCTCGTTTTTTTTTTTTTTCTTCACCCCTTCTAATCACTGCTCTTTCATGTCCCTCTGCATTCGTGGAAGCAAAAAGAAGTCACATGGAGTGAGGTCAGGTGAGTAAGGTGCGTGTGACAAGAGAGGCATGCTGTTTTTGCCAAAAACTGGTGCACTGAGATGGCTGTGAGCAGGTGCATTTGTCGTGGTGGCAAAAACCAGTCCCCCATCTGCCACAAATCAGGCCTTTTTGGTTGCACGCTGTTACGCAGTTTTTCAAAACCTCTAAATAGAAAACTTGATTAACAGTCTGGCCTCATGAAACGAACTCCAAATGCACTATCCTCCACACATCAAAAAACAAATGAGCATTGCTTTGATCTTTGGTTCCATTCTGATGAGTTTTGGGGGGGTAAGGTGACAATGGCATCTCCCACTGACTTGCTTGATTGATGTTTGCTTTTGGAGTCGTTAGCACAGTGCCGGAAGGAAGGATAGCACCATGTCTCATCACCAGTAATGACCTTGGAAAAAGAAGTCTGGGTCACTTCAGAGCTGTTCTTTCAAAGCCTGGATGTTTTCCGTCAATGCTTTTTCCTGGTCAGTCAGAACCGGAGGCACAAATTTTGCAGCAAC